ACTGGATCTATCGTTGGGAAATTGGTGATGCCCCAGCCATCTGTAACTGGGAGTCCAAGAGACCATAACAGGCCTTCACCTCTTTGTTTGAACGGTCCTCCCTCTCCTACCATCACTCAGCATAATGTTAGATAAAGCAAGCGTCTGTGACGGCTTTGAAAGAGTCAGACGCTCGCAGAGCAGGCTGTGGTTAAAATGTTTAATAAGGGCTAATTCAGAACTGTAGTACAAAAACAGGCAAGGGGTCCATACACAGGCAAACGGGGCAATACAAGCTAAGCTAAATCAGAATGAGAGAACATGAGCTAGAGGTCACTACCCAAAAGAGTAAACAGAGTCAAAAAGGGGTCAGGCTAGAATCGAGAATGAGAAGACAAGTAAGAAAATAAACTGGGAAGTCAAAGCACAGAAATAAAGGCTTGGTGATGCACAGGAGGCTGAGACAATACTTCACAATAAGGCTACGGACACAAACAGGTTATACAGGCACTAGAACAGGTGTCAACAATCAATAATCAGGTGCATGGGAGCGTGGATAGGTGGAGGGTTGTTAGTCCGTGGTCATGTGATCCCCCAAAGGATTCTGGGAGTTGGAGTTTTGAACGGAGTATGGAGTGTTAGACTCTGCTAAGCCGGCGAAAGGCATGACAGATAGATAGATAGATAGATAGATAGATAGATAGATAGATAGATAGATAGATAGATAATTCTTTAATTTGGTGTATAGTCCATATATTTGTAAAAAAAAAAAAAAAGGCTCTTTTTAAAGGGACACTTTGGCCAGACTAGGAAAACCCCCTTCTGATGACATATCTTGAAGGTGGAAGGAACTGCAACTGCTTTGGGGAGGATATTTGGGGGTAGGTAGTTTAAAAATGTGTTTTCGAACTTTCGAGCAGTAACATTAGGCTATCGGGTTACTTTGCTTTCTGCACTTAGTCAGCCAAAACAAAAAAAATCCTCTACAGCCCCAAAAAATCCACAGTAAAGCAGTTGTAGTTTCCAAAAGCTCTTTCCACCTTCAAGATACATCAACCAGAAGAGAGTTTTTCTAGTCTTAAGAAGCAGAACCAAATTGTGTGCCATGAGAACTATGCACAAAATTTATTTACTAAATGTTTTACTGCGTATCACCACATCTACTTAAACAGGACCAATTACGCTCTCTTGGACTCAGGTGTCATTGGGGTTTGAACGTATGATCCCCTGAAATCAGAGCGAAACTTTAAACAGCTACGACACTTGATTTCCCCTGTTAGATGCCTTTTTGAGAAAACATCAACTACATGACGTAATTAATGATGATGATGGTATCGCATCATCATATTTCTCATCCTCACGTGCATATAAATGAAATGACCACCATCTGAGGAGCGTATTCGAAGCCACTGCTTACATATCTCTAACAGATATAAATAAGTTTCATTTTCTCTCTGAATAAGCATCAAGCTTCTCCCGAAAATTAACAAATGGCATAATCAAATGGCGTCTCATGAATATGCTAACAGGGCGGACGGCGAATGCATCTGGAGACGAATGCCTTTCATCTCGGAGGAGCGAGATGCGGAGTTGCTCGCCCAAATCTCCTGATAATCCCGCCCAGGCTGTAACTCAGCACGCAATGAAGAGGATAAATCAGGACCTTGGACAGCAGCACTGCAGCCACACTCACTCAGCCTGACTGCTTTCAGCACCATGGAGAGGGCCAGACAGAGGCAAGGTGATGGCTGCTCTTTTACTGCTGCGCGTGGAGGTTAATTTGGAACAACGTGAACTGAAGGTTTCAGTGAATAAAATGATGTGAAAGAATAATGTGAAAGCAGCAAGAGACGACTGAAAGGGTCTGAGCGGAAGGAAAAAGTTGAATTACGTAAATGATCTGCTTCAGTGTCGTCATCTTTAGAGACGGGGTTCACCATGTAGGGTAGGAACCTCAGCTCTGTACAAGAAAGAAGAGACCAATAAGAGGCTGTCATAATTATTACGTAACTGACAAACTGGATTATTTGAGCTGTGGTCGTTTGGTCTGACAGTGATTATTTCTATAGTATTTTCAAAATCATACAACTGTTACAACAAACAGAATTTTTGTTATTTTATGTGTTTTTGTTTCTTTGGTTTGTTTTTCCTGTTTGTTTGTTTTTTGCAGAAGAGGATAAAGTTACCAAACACTATTACATAAACACTAGGCGCATTAGAAGGTAAAACGGAATGGTATGCTGATGTGTCAACTGCTATTTTTGAGAATTATCACTTTGTAAGGAGTTTGCTAAACAGGTATTACATTATAGGAAACAATGTCAATGCACTGCCTGCATTAAATTAATTTTAGGCTAAACTCTTCTCAAAACAATGTCTCATTCATTGGGCAGGATATTCATAACCATAACTTTCTGTGAAAGCTCTTTTAGAGCTTTTGCATTTGGATGTCTGGTTCCCATGAACTCCACTGTGAACAATTCTGACTCAGTAAGTTTCTCTAGAACAGAGCCTTTCACATCAAACCTCTCTGAATGATTTTGTTTACACCTTAACGATTGAATTATGCAGAATTTAGAAAAATCTGTGTAATTCCCCTTTACGTTTTGCTTGACTCTACTCATAATTATGTAGAAGGCGTCATTTCATCATATTATATTATGTGCATCCTAATGTTAAATAACAGGTTAGGATAAAAAGCAAAGTAGCTAATAATCCAGTTTAGAAGCTTTAAGCTTTTGCCATAACAGTGGAATGAAATCAACAAAAAGGTCATTTAATTATTAATTGTGATTATGTATACGAAAATGAATCTCCAGCTAAATGTTAAAATTGTGACTGGACCGACAATACACCTGTATAAGACCAACATCTGCAAGCCTTGCTTCCATGTTATATACATACACACACACACACACACACACACACGCACATACATCTTTATTAATCTGATTTGCGTGATTAATGGGTGTGTGAGGGAAAAAACTGTCCTCAATAAGATCTACAGCCTCGGTGTCATCGCACACCAATGTTCTACACGCCCCCGCCTCATCCAATAAAACAGTAGTAATTAAGAGAAATATGAACACTCATAAATATTCAGATGCTTCCCATATATTTGGATCTGCAGATAGAAGCAGGTGACACTGGCTGACTTGTGTTGGTCCCAATATTAGTCCAGAGTCACCACTGTTACTGTGGCAGCGTTGCCGTGGTGCGGTTGCCATGACCCAACATGGGGATTTGTAGGATGCTGTTCTGAAGGAGACGGGATTTTACAAAGCAAGACACTGCTGAGGCAGTCTGGAGCACTGCCTTACAGAGACAGAGAGAGAGAGAGAGAGAGAGAGAGAGAGAGAGAGAGAGAGAGAGAACAGAGAGAGAGAGAAGCAGAGAGACAGAAGAGGAAAAAGAATGAATATGAAAGACAGAAGAAAGAGAGAAATAAGAGAGAGAAAGAAGTAAGAGAGAAGACAGAAATGAGACAGACAGAAAAGTGAGAGCGGATAGAAAATATGAGACATGGAGAGAAAGAGAGGGAGAAAGAAGAGAGAAAGACAGAAAAAGAGGGAGAGTGAGAAAAAGAGAGCAAGAGAGAGAAGGACAGAGATAGAAGACAGAGAGATAGACAAAGAGAAGAGTACAGAGATAACTGAGGAGAAAAGGAAAAGAGAAAAGAAAGAGAAAGACGGAGAGAGAGTAAAGAAGGAGAGCATGAGACAGGATAAGAGAGAGAGAGGGGGAGACAGAAGAGAGAGAGAGAAAGAAGAGAGAGTCAGAAAGATGGAAAAAGAGAGATGGAAGAAAAAGAGAGAAAAATAACAGACAGTGGGAGAGAGAAAAAGAGAGACGAGAGAGAGAGAGAAAGAGAGAGAGAGACAGCCTAATAAAAAGAGAGGAAGAGAGAGACAGAGCATAAGTGGGTGAGAGAGAGAGGCATGTAGAGAAAGACAGAAGAGAACAGAGAGAAAGACAAGTGGGAGAGAAAAAGATAGATAGAGACAGAGCCAGAGAGAGAGAGAGAGAGAGCTTGATAAAAAGAGAGGAAGAGACAGACAGAGAGAGAGAGAGAGAGAGAGAGAGAGAGAGAGAGAGAGAGAGAGAGAGAGAGAGACAGAGCATAAGTGGGTGAGAGAGAGAGGCACGTAGAGAAAGACAGAAAGACAAGACAGACAGTGGAAGTGAGAGAGAGAGAAGAGAAAGACAGCTAAAACAAGAGAAAGAGACAGACAGAGGCATGTCGAGAGAGGCAGAAGAAAAAGAGAGAGAAAAACAAGACAAGATAGTCAGTGGGAGAGATAGGCAGAGAGAGAGAGAGAGAGAGAGAGAGAGAGAGAGAGAGAGAGCTTGATAAAAAGAGAGGAACAGACAGACAGAGCATGAGAAAGAGAGTCAGAGCTTAAGTGGGTGAGAGAGAGAGAGAGGGAGAGAGGGAGAGAGAGGGAGAGAGGGAGAGAGAGGGAGAGAGAGAGAGGGAGAGAGAGAGATAGACCTGTAGAGAGAATGGGGCTTGAGTGACAGCACAAGTTGGCATGTCCATCTTCACCAGGAGTGAAGAGCATTTCAGACGTGACTCTGTGAAGCTCGCAGGTGTAGCAGCTCTCTGAAGTGTGTGTGTGAGACGGTGAGCTCTGGAGCATCAGAGCACACACACACACACACACACACACACACACACACACATACACACACACACGTACACAAAAGAGCCAATTACTATTCTAGTCACGGCAGCCATGCAGTAAAAGAGGAGAGAGGATGCAATGCAGGGAGAACCAGCAGAACACACTCCTCCTCCTACTCTCTCGCTCTCCATCTCTCCATCTTCCCTCCTCCTCATCTATCCACGGCCGCATGCGTGGGTGTGTATGTGCTGCGAGTGTGTGACGGATCATGTGTGCGCAGCATGTGACTGCACTGCGTTCATGTGCGCTGCATACTGGAGCGTAACGCTGCTAACGGAATGACGGTAAAACGACACTCTGTCTGTATGAGAGAGAGAGAGAGATTCCAGCACTCACCTTGGCTGTTCGCTCCCCCCTCTCCCTCCTCACACTCGGTCAGGTTGTTGAGCATCCTGGCTCTCCGCTGTTCCTCGCTCCCCTGCTCCGAACTGTCCTCCACTCACGGAGACACGCACTCCCACTCAAATTCGGAGAGGTGGAAGAGAGAGGGGAAGAGATGGACAGATTCACCCTCCTGTCCTCCTTTCTTTCCCTGCTGGAGCTGAGAGGAAGAACGACGCCGATGGAGAAAGAGAGCGCGCTTTTTTCCCCCTCTCTTCTTCTCGTCGTCTCCCCTCTCTCTCTATCTCTCTCTCTTTCTCTGACTCTCTCTCTTTTCAGGAGGAGGAGGAGGAGGAGGAGGAGGAGGAGGGTATCGCGGAGAGCTGCAGGAGTTGGATGATGGAACGCTCTCTCTCACTCGCTCGTCCGCTCACACACACACAGACACACACACACACGGGGGGGGGGCTGGACACATACACGCTCGTTCATGTTCACCAAGACAACTGAGTGACCAAGAGAGAGGGAGAGATAAAGAGAGAGAGAGAAATAGAGAAAAGAGATAAGAGATAAATAGAGAGAGAGAGAGAGAGATGAGAGAAAGAGAGAGAGACAGACAGAGAGAGAGAGAAAGAGAGAGAAAAGAGATAAGAGATAAATAGAGAGAGAGAGAGAGATGAGAGAAAGAGAGAGAAACAGAGAGAGAGAAAGGTAAATAGAGAGAAAGAGAGAGAGAGAGAGAGAAGAGAGAGAGAGAATGAGAGAGAAACAGAAATAAATTGAAAGGGTGAGAGATGGAGATAGATAGATAGATAGATAGATAGATAGATAGATAGATAGATAGATAGAGAGAAAACTGAGAGGTAGTGGGAGAGCGTGAGAAGGGGAAGAAAGAGAGCAAGAGATAAGAAATAGATAGATTGAAAAAGAGAGAAAGAGTGAGAGACCTAGATCCACATATAACCCATTTCTTCAGCTCTTCATATTTGCTGGTTGTCAGAAGGGTGCATTAGGCGTAGAATCTACTCTCTCTCTCTCTCTCTCTCTCTCTCTCTCTCTCTCTCGGTCTTCATGGTGGGTTTAGTAATAATAGCCCCTGCTCACTGCTTTTCATGTCAGATAATAACACTGCGTTTTGTGTCTTCAGATTTGTTTTGAAGAACACAATCAATACAATCAGCATTCAGCCTCAGACCCAACACGGATAAGAGTGACGGAGCCACAGACAACCTTCACATTCTCTGCTCCACTTCCTTTTTCTACATATGACAAAGGAAACGAGCACTTTGTTGACAAGCAAATCTTCAAGCGAGACAAATTTTGCATAAAAAATGAACTTGTGATTACATGCTGCTGAAGAAAAAAACAGTTACCATCATCCAAAAGTCACAAGAAGAGTCAAAACAGTCCCTTTGCACACAGTAGAGTGGAACCTAGAAGACACTGGAGCTGCTGCAGAACCACCGGAGAGAGGTTCAGTCCCGGTTACTTCACACCCACACACATACCTCACCTCAGTAAATGATTTCTGAACATCTGCCGGGACCTCAGCCGTAGAAATGCCCAGCGTCGGCCTTAACCTCACACGTTTGTGTGAATGTGCCTGTTTGTCGCTACACATTGTCAGGATGAAATGTTTTTTTGCAGAAAAAAGTAGAAAAGACAATTAAGGCTGCATAACATACGGTTTGTTAATTATTACTGGAATATTGATCTCTGAGATATTGATACACAGAAGGCAATGTGCCAATGAGCCACCTAATAAGTCACACATTTCTCTCTGAGTGTCCTGCTCAATCTCAGATGTTCCACATGAGTGTTCTTTTGTTGTTTTCATGAATGGATGCATTCATGTGATCAGCACCTCACATGAACTACAAATAATTTTGTTAATAATTAACAAAAATTAACAACATTTACTGGTACACAATTGTGTTTTCAGTGTATTGTAAGGCCTGTTATAACTGTAGTATGTGCAATATAATCGCAATTTTCATAACTATCATGCAGCCGCAAGAGTAAACTGGCTCTTTAGGAGCCGCAAAAGCTACATGCATCATTTTTTTAAAATGAACGAGCAAGTTTTTTTTTTGGCTTCCTGTGGTTAAGATTAGGGCTATATAACACAATTCTCATTACAAATAGGAACTTTCATATATAATACTCATAGTATGTATTATTATATATAGGCACTCACATAATGCATATTAAGCACATATCACTACTTCCATATATAATACATATGGGGTATATTCCGTATAGCTACACACATATACAGTATATCTGGGATATTTTATGACATTGATGCCTATATACATAATACAAATGAGACATATTATATAACACATATTATTACATACAGATACATGTATTTCACCCTGTCCTTCAATGAGCAGGACCCCCACAGGACCACTAGATAGCAGGTATTATTTGGGCAGGACCCCCACAGGACCACTAGAGAGCAGGTTTTACTTTTCTCAGTGATGGCTGCTCAACAGCTACACATCCTTTCAGACCCATAGCATTGAGTCGTCTTCTCACAGTGGAAGCACTGCTGTGTCTGATCCACTCACTAACACACCACCACCACCACACCAGTGTTGCTGCAGTGCTGAGAATGGCTGATCGGTGTGTCTGTGTGTATAAACACATAGATGTAACTGCGTGTGTGTGTGTGTGTGTGTGTGTGTGTGAGAGAGAGAGAGATAGAGAATGCCTGCCAAAATCTGAGAAGAGGATTGTGTTTGAGTTTGAGGGGATAATGAGACAAACCCCTTTGTTAATCTCAGGTGAATCCTGCAATGTCATTATTGCTGCCATGGCAACCATAATCAGTAATCTGCACTGCACAGTAAATGACAGGTGTGCATATGAGGCATATTTATGTAAGAAAATTCTAATCAATCTTGCATTTTAAACAGGATGCTATGGAGCCATGCTCTGTTTGAGTATGTGGGCATGTCACACACACACACACACACACACACACACACACACACGCACACACACATATACGCATACACAAAACAGACAGAACATGACAGAGAAGCTTCCAACACCCAACACGAGTATAAATCTATCAGTTTTTCATTTGTCCACTCTTTACTATTTTTCACTCTACTGTCCCTTTAACTCTTCCATCCTTCCAATCCTACAACTAGCCAGTTACAGCTGTGTCCTCCCAACAAAAGCTATTCCCAAAGGAGTCACTGACATTATGTCCCCCTTCACTCAGACTCTAAGGCTAGGTTCACACAGCTGGTATAAGTGGCCTAAATCCAATCTTGTTCTTCATATGTGACACAGTGTGAACAGCAATCCGACTGAAATCCGATATGTATCCGATATGCAGCAATGCGACTCAGTCTGAACAGCCAGATCGTCTTTTACATCAATCGAACTTGACACTCATCATAATTTCGAGCTGCTGGACCTCACAAAAATGTGGGGTGATGTTTCTGTTCATGACATTAGAAGAGACTTGTTCGCTGGCAGTTCGCTGGCAGTCGTGATTGTTTACCTCTGGATGAGTGCGGCACGTGAAGCATTGTTGTTTTGCGCATGCAGGTCAGTTTAGGAGGGTGATCTGTTCAGACTGATGTCAAATTTAAAAGATACGGTGAAAAGCCAAACAAAAATATCAGATTTGGTGAGAAAATCAGATTCGGGCCACTTTTACCTGCAGTGTGAACGTAGCCTAACATTCATGCAAGCAGCTACCCAGACTCACCTTAACTGCCTGCAGATTTCTCTCTCATTAGCATCTAAAAAGGCTGAAGGAAATATTTCTGTTGAGATTGAATATAACATAATCCACTTAATGAGGCAGAAAGTCAAAGGAAAAACAAAGAAAAAAGTTTCCAAAACTGTAAAGTTGTAAAAGTAGTTCAAAAAATGATGGAAAGCTACAGAGAAAATGGGACTCCTAACAACCAAGAGCATGCAAGAGCTGGTAGACACCAAAACTGCCCCATCAGATTAACAGCACTTAAAGCTTTCATCTTTGAGAGAGAGGAGAAAATCAAGCTGCTTCAGATCTGAAAACATCCACAGGTGTTTCTGTCCATCCTTCCACTGTGAGAAGACAGCTCAGCACTATGGGTCTGAAAGTGTAGCTGTCAAGAAGAACCTCACTGAGAAAAGGAAATAGACAAAAAGAAGCTTCTGGTGTTGTCAGAACAATTGACTTCACTTCAGGGTCCTCAACATCACTAAACATGTCTGGGATTATGTGGATGGTAAGAAGCAGAAAGTGCAACCAACTTCTAAGATTGAACTTTGGAGGTGTGGAAAAATATTTCTTTGTAAAACTGAAAGCAAGTCCCCTGGTATGGACACACTGATATTTGTTAGTTGATGCTTTTGTGTAATTTTCTGTTAAACCTGTTAAAAACAGAAAAATTCGTTTTTTTCCTTGATGCTGAAAAATGAATAACCCGTACTTAAGCACTGTTTTCACTATGAATTAAAAAAGAAGGATGCTCTCAAACGTCTGCACAGTACTGTACATTTTCATGGGTAGATTACATAACAAAATCTCATAACTCCATTAATCCATATTTCATAAAGTGTAAATGAAAAGAGATGTCTTCAGAACACACACACACACACACACACACACACACTCTTCACATGGAGGCTTGGGGAAGGAACTTTCTCTTCCTGTTAGTCTTTGAGTACAAGCCGTCAACCCCATCCCTCTGCTTCTCACTTCTACACCCAACATACATGACAAGCCACTCAGTCCGGTGTGGCCCAGGCCAGGCCGAAAAACAGAGCTATTTTTGGGCCACAACGATGTCTGGAGGAATCGGCAGCAGTGAGGAGAGCTTTCATCTGAAATGGGCTGTGACCTGTAAGCACTCAATTACAAAGCTGTCAGCGCTCGCTGCATATGTGCACACATTGACTGGTGCAATTACAGCAGCTAAGAGATAAGCTCCACTTTCGGACTGCATGGAAAGGTAGTACGGAGCTGTTAGATGGGATAAATCAATGTAAGTGTTTCATTATAGAGGCCTATTGGTCAAGTATTTATGATTGTTAATGAAATGCATTAGGTACATATCACTGTCCAAAAACACAACAACAACAAACAAAAGTTTCTGCCTAATTTGAGCT